ACCCACACCCCCACAAAGAAGGAGAGACCAACACCCCCAGAATAAAGGAGAGACCCACACCCCCAGAATAAAGGGGGACACCCACACCCCCAGAATAAAGGGGGAGACCCACACCCCCAGAATAAAGGGGAGACTAACACCCCCAGAATAAAGGGGAGACTAGCACCCCCAGAATGAAGGAGAGACCAACACCCCCACACGCCCAGAATAAAGGGGGACACCCACACCCCCAGAATAAAGGGGAGACCAACACCCCCAGAATAAAGGGGGAGACCCCCACCTCCAGAATAAAGGAGAGACCAACACCCCCAGAATAAAGGGGAGACCAACACCCCCACACCCCCAGAATAAAGGGGGAGACCCACAACCCCAAAATAACGGGGAGACCAACACCCTCACACCCCCAGAATATAGGGGGAGACCCACACCCCCAGAATAAAGGGGAGACCAACACAACCAGAATAAAGGGGGAGACCCCCACCCCCAGAATAAAGGAGAGACCAACACCCCCAGAATAAAATGGGAGACCAACACCCCCACCCCCAGAATAAAGGAAAGACCAACACCCCCAGAACAAAGGGGAGACCAACACCCCACACCCCAGAATAAAGGGGAGACCAACACCCCCGAAATACAGGGGAAACCAACACCCCCACACCCCCAGAATATAGGGGAGACCAACACCCCCAGAATAAAGGGGGAGACCCACAACCCCAGAATAAAGGGGAGACCAACACCCCACACCCCCAGAATATAGGGGAGACCCACACCCCCAGAATAAAGGGGAGACCAACACCCCCAGAATAAAGGGGAGACCAAGAGCCCCACAATAAAGGGGAGACCAACACTCCACCCCCGCAGAATAAAGGGGGATACCCACACCCCCACAATAAAGGAGAGACCAACAACCCCAGAATAAAGGGGAGACCCACTCCACCAGAATAAAGGGGAGACCCACTCCCCCAGAATAAGGGGGAGACTAACACCCCCAGAGTAAAGGAGAGACCAACACCCCCACACCCCCAGAATAAAGGGTGAGACCCACACCCCCAGATTAAAGGGGGAGACCATCACCCCCAGAATAAAGGGGAGACCAACACCCCCACACCCAGAATATAGGGAGACCAACACCCCAGAATATAGGGGAGACCCACACCCCCAGAATAAAGGGGGAGACCCACACCCCCAGAATAAAGGGGGAGACCATCACCCCCAGAATATAGGGGAGACCAACACCCCCAGAATATAGGGGAGACCAACACCCCCAGAATAAAGGGGGAGACCCACAACCCCAGAATAAAGGGGAGACCAACACCCCCAGAATAAAGGAGAGACCAACACCTCCACACCCCCAGAATAAAGGGGGAGACCCACACCCCCAGAATAAAGGGGAGACTAACACCCCCAGAATAAAGGGGAGACCAACACCCCCACACCGTCAGAATAAAG